TTTAATGTGTGCTACATCTACTACATTCATGCATTGTATTTTTTAAAAATATTTAAAAATTAAAAAATACGTTTTTTATTTTATTTTAATTTTTAAATATTTGGGTTAATTACACACAAAAAAAAAATACCCTAGAGTTTTGCGCATTTTTCATTTTAAACTCTAAGTTTTCAATTTCAACAAATTAAACCTTATCCTTCCGCTTGTGTTTCAGTCTAGCTCCTCCTTCCATCTCCGTCATATTGAACTAACGGAAATTTAGACAAAATTTTATATTTAAACTCACATGTTCAAATACTTGTATCTCCCTTGTCGTAACTCCGTTTCACCTTATTTTTGGGTTGTTAGATTCACCTTATGGCCTAATTTTTATTCCACCTCTCATACGCCTTGTTCTGTCTCTTTTTACATGCTGTCGGAGCTCTAAAATTTGGCTAAAAATAAGATTTTTCTCTCATTGGGTAAAATTTTCATATTCAAACCCACATGTTCAAACACTTGTAACTCCTTCGTCATAATTCAATTTCGCCTCATTTTTGCGTCATTGGATTCATTTCACGGCATAGTTTTCATTCTACCACTCATACGCCTTGTTTTACCTCTTTTTGTGTGCCATTAGAGTTTCGAATATTTTTTTAAAATCTTCTATCTTCATATTTCTTCTTTCCTTCTTTCTCACAATTATTCTCTTTTTTCATCTTTCTTCATGATCCTTCCACCGAGCTCATGGTAGCCACCGAACCTCCAACGGTGGCGGTGTCGTTGAGTATGGAGATTTATGACTTACAAGAAGGGGAAGAAACGTAAGTGTGGAGGAATGGCCATGAAAGAAAACGAAAAAAGTGAATACTTATGAAAAGGAAGGAGGAAGGAAGAAGCATAGAGATAGAAGATAGAGGAAAAAAGAAAAAGAAAAATCTTATTTTCGGCCAATTTTTGGAGCTTCAACGGCATACAAAAAGATGTAGAACAAACATATGATGGGTGTAATGAAAACTAGGCCATTAAATGAATTCAACGACCCAAAAATGAGGTGAAACGAAATTACGATAAGGTAGATACAAGTGCTTGAATATGTAGGTTTGAATTTGAAAATTTTGCCTAAAGAGATAAAATTTTTATTTTTGGCCAATTTTCGAAGCTCTGAAAATTGAAAAAAAAAAAAAAAAAAAAAAAAAAAAAAAAGGTGGAACAAGGCATATGAAGAGTGGAATGAAAATTAGGCCATGAGGTGAATCTAATGACGCGAAACGAATTTACGACGAAGGAAATACGAGTGTTTTAGCATATGGGTTTGAATTTGAAATTTTGCCCAGATTTCCATTAGTTCAATATTACGAAGATGGATGGGGGGACCAGATTGAAATACGAGTGGAACGATGGGATTTAATTTGTCAAAATTGAAAACTTGGGATTTAAAATTAAAAAGACGTGAAACCCTGGGATTCTATGTGTAATTAATACTAAATATTTTAAATATTTTTTGAATATTTATTTATTTATTTTTAAATATTTAACTTTTTTTTTAAAAGAACAAAAATTTTGAATCGCCCATATATATCTAAATTATAAAAAATTATTTAGCCAATACTTAAAAAAATAACAAAATATTTTTTAAAAAAAAATAGTTTTTCAAAAAAATAAGTTTAAAGAACAAAATCAAAAAAAAATCAAAAAAAAAGTAGAGTTTTGAAAAAAATTTGATTATGAATTTTGAAAAGAATATTTGAATTGAATTTTGAAAATTTTGTTTGGTCAATGAATTTTGAAAATAATTTTGAAATTTTTTGATCTAAATCACGATTTGAAAATCAAACCAACTGCTACCTTTATTTTCATGGTGAAATTTCTTTTTCATATTCTAGCTTTTTTTTTAAAAAATTTTTTAAATGACCACCTTAAAAGTAATTTTACTAAAATCTGAAAAAAAAAAAATCAATAAAAACAAAAAATATGAAAACCTAAAAATATTAAACCAAGTGAAACCAAGACCAACTAAAGTAGTCTTCTTTTTTGTCCTTTTCCTTTCTCTTCCCCACATATACATCATGATTGATCTTTGGTAAGCCTATTGGGTGCATAACAATAGTGTAAAAGCCAAGCACAAAATCCTCTAATTGCAGGAGTTTGAATATATGATTCATCCAAGATCCATTCAATTTGAGGGGAGGTACACACACAAGTGCTTTAGAAGTTCAGCAATTTCACATTACAAAATGACGACATCATTACCACATGCTTTGTATAGCGCCTTCTGGTATTTGTTCACACAGTCATTTCAATAATTAGGTTGCCTAATAATCATTGTATTTAAGAGAAACGACATTTATCACCGGATGTTTTACGTGTAAACTGTAAAATAAATGTGCTTCAATATTTTCAAAACAACCTGTAACATTATCGACGTGATGTTCCAAACCAATTATACAACATAAAGTTTTACAAATAGATATGTTGACTCATTTTTATTAGATAATTAAAAGTATTACATAAAACATGTCACATAATATTCTAAGGGTATCTAATAATCTTCCATATATAAGAGTGACCATATTTTAAAAGATAACAATGATAGAGACCCTTTTTTAGAGGACTGCACAATCCCAAATGATCCACACCACTTATGATGTGGGCCTCACACATCATAAGTGATGTGAATCACTTTGGAAATTGTGAGAGCCCTCCAAAAATGGGGTCTCACTCTTTTTCTTTTAAAAAAATACGACCCCGCTACATAGCTCGAAAGAGTTTGGCCCGAATTTGGCTCGACACCAAAACGACGTCGTTTTGGTGTCTTTTTTTTTTTTTTTTTTTTTTCTTTTTCCTGTGTTCTTGTTGCAAAAGGAAGAAGAAGAAGAAGAAGAAGAAGAAGAGAAGGAGAAGAGAAGCAAGGAGGAGGAGGAGGAGGAGGAGAAAGGAGAAAGACTGGAGGGGCCATAATCACAGGGGGAGAAGGAGGCGAAGGCGGGGCCGGAGGCGACGGCGGTGGTGCTGCAACGATCTCTGGTACTGCGACGATCGGCGGCAACGATGCGACGGCAGTGGTGCTGCGACAATCTCCTCTCCTCCTCTCTCTTTCTCCCTCTCTCCTCTTTCTCTTCTCCTCTCTTCTTCCTCTCTTCTCTCCCTCTTTCTCCTCTGTCTCTATCTTCGAATTCGAATTCGAATTCAAGCCAAAATCGGGCCACTTTTTTCGAGCTACCAGTCATTTTCGGAAAAAATAATAGAAACCACCATACATGGTAGAAAGCCACATAAGAAATGAGGAGTTTCCGGGAAATATTTCGATGATATATTACAACCCTCTATAACTACATTGTCCACAGATTCTAATATAAGGGTTTTTTCTTGCATTTTTTTTAAAAAAAAAAAAATTGCTTTGGCTACAATGTATCTCACTTGCATTGTACCTGCCAAGCAAGGTAACAATACAGTGCTCATGAAGGCAATAATGTTGTTGAAAGTTTTCGTTTTGCAACAATCAAATATCAATTGTGCTACATGTCCAGAAAGATTATCCAGAATTTCATACAAAATTGAAAATATATGAATAAGATTCATTCTGAATATGACTCATATACACATTTAAATCTACACCCTACACTACATTTCCCTTTCTGGGTAAAATTCTGGTTAAATTTTATGCGTTACTAACTAGAATTATTGATCAGAAATAGGATACTCCCAACTCTCGATTAAAAAAGAAGAAAAGGAGACTAGGTTCTTTCTTTGCTTCCAAGATGTCACTTCAACGCAATACTAAAATGAAATGATAAAAGTTCAAGTTTGTTTTCAAAAACATCAATACTGAGTACTTGGTTTCTGAAGCAACTAGACTCCAGCCTTCCTCAACATACCCTTTTTGAAACTTAAATTCTAAACATTAGGCTCTTGTAATCGAAGCATCTAGTCTGAACACGACGATGATAAAATAGATTCTGAAAACTCAACCAAACGGAGCCACTGGTAATTGTTTCTTAGAGGGGTTCGAGTAGCAAATCTTATCAGCAGAATTAGGTCAATCTCTACTGTGCTCCTAATAATGAGAATACAAAACAAACGAGTACTAGTGGAAACTCCCTCTAAAAGAATGGGAAACGGGAAATTAAAAATCAATACTTCTTCAAGAAGGGAAGAACGGTTTTAGTTAAAAACTAAGATAAACTAATCTCTTTCATTTGAGAACCGGAGAATCAAGTTCAAGGCTTTTGGATAATGCAACAAAGAGGCCGACGCCATCTCATTAAATTTTTCTAACAAAAGAATTGTAATTAATGTCACTTTAATTGTTTGATTAATAGCTGTTGTAAACACAATAGTATAAGTTCACGTTTCATATGTCATATATTCAATAGGGGGATAATCCTAACTAGATTTAGAGGAACTAAAAGATTGAACAGTAACATCAAATCAAGAATCATAAGATTTTATGACAACAAACAATGACAAAAACACATGTACTGTATTCTAGAATTACGACTTCTATAAATAAAGTTGAGATGAAGTAAGAATCCATGGAAATATAAGTGAAAACATGAGACAATTTTTCAGAAAAAAAAAACCCTAAGAATATTTCAACTAAAAACAGTAACTGTGATTGAAACTTGCCATAATCATTCGAAGATAACTTCAAATGCATAGCAGATTAACGCAGAAAATTGTTTTTAGATGATGCTTAGTTATAATTCCTACCTCAAACTCATTACTTTGCTTGGGATGTGAAAATCATCACTGATCATGATTCTTTCTCCCTATAATTATCAGAAACTACCAACATTGACCAGAACGGGAAGACATTAAACTCTTACCAATCCTGATAGGATCCAAACACGACATCATTAAGTTTGGGTGTCTTGATTGGCAGTTGGATGATGTTTGCTATAGTCTGTATAAGTAGGCTAAACGAGACCTCTTTCTTCTTTATTTTTCTTCAAAGAAAACAAAACGAAAAGAGAAACAAAAAAGGATCCCGAAAATCAATGGAGTGTTAAAATACCATGTTATTGAAGGTTTCCTTCCATAACTGACTACCAGTGGAGCGTTAAATAAAGATAATTAGTGTTGTCCCCGCAAATTGAGGAATGCAAAATAAAATACAAACAAAAGATCTATATAGTTAAACAAAATATTACTAGTACACCTGATATCCCATAACATTAAAAGCTTTTTTTTCACACATCTATCACCACTCTACAAAGTAACACTCCCGTATATAATCAAATCAAAGAAACAACAAACGAAACACGACATAGAAGAAAACCGAAGAGTTAAGCAAATAGAACCTGTGCGCTTGAGGGTGTCAAGTCGGTGAAGGCCTCCGGTGCATCCACCACTTGCCATTGAACTGAGAAGCTCAACTTTTTCTCAGAAGTGCTGATTGAATTCAGCCTAGAGATATGACCCACGGCAACATGAAGATTACGACCCACAACAAAGATCCTGGTATCAGAGCAATTCACTGAGAAAGGTTTGCATATCTGCTCCGGTAAAGGAGGTCCTTCAACACTATCCCACGAATCAGTATCAGTATCGTAAAACTTAAGTTTTGTCCTTTCATGCTCTGAGACCACAAACAATTGCCCAAAAATTACAATACTCGAACCAGTCCAGCCTTCTCTCAGCCCAATAGGCATACATTCCCAATTATCAGTTCCCGGGTCATACACCTGACCCCGGGGTAGAACATAAAAGGGCCAAAACCAGCCTTCGGTCACAAGGAGCTTCCCATTCAGAACTGCTGCGTCATATGAGGCCATGTTTGTTCCCATGCTCGCAATTGGGCGCCAAGTATCCATAGTGGGGTCCAGGACTTCAGCTGAGTCAAGCTCAAAGAGATCCGTACTGTTTCCTCCAGCCACATAAATCATCCCGTCAATTACGCCACTTGCAAAAAATGACCGTGCCATGTTCATCTTTTTCATTACAGTCCAACGGTTCTTCTGCATTTCATATTTCAACACCAAGTTGAGTGGGCAATCAACGTCAGAGACTACGCCGCCACACACAAAGAGAGCACCATCATGTGGGATCGAAACACACCTAAATCCATGGGGGCAAACCTTGTCCTTGCACGGCATTGCGGGGATAGTATGCCAAGAAAAATGAATAAGGTCAAGAACGTGCCACTGAATCTTTCCTGTACATTTGTGGAAGGCAAACACGAAGAGCCAAGGATCAAATAACTTTAGTTCCTTTCTCCGAGTGAAAAATCGCTCCTTACTACTAAGCAAGTGATACCAACGCTTGCAGACCGCTCTGCAAGCGGCATGGCTCACGACAGGAAGCCGGAGGAGGCAATTGAGGGCAATATCATCAGGCAGACCAGGAATTAAGGGCTCTCCTCTCACTCTTAGAGATAATTCAAACTCTAAAGATAGATCCAACAGAGAAGATTGGATCGCTGCTAACCTAAACTTTGGGGACAATGTCATTTGGGAATCCCCTAGTTTGTGCACTGGTGCTTGCTGTGCCGAAACTCGTACCCTCTGCATCTTCTTCCTTTAGTCACAATATCAACAACCCCGGAAAACCTGAAAAAGCTCTACCTTCAATATATGAACTTCTTTATACAGTGTGCCACCAAAAGTTCATGATTGGGTAAAACCAACATATGTGTTCTATTCAATCATTCAAATCCCAATTCAATGCTCTTATTTCAGTATCTGAACTTCTTTATAAATTATTTCACCAAAAGTGCATGATTGGGTAAAATCAACATATGGATTCTATTCAATCATTCAAAACCCAATTCAACTCAATGAATTTATTCCAAAATCTAACCAGAATTCAAACTTATCACTGTTTTTCTTGACCTAAAAAATCAATTCAAATAGGAATCCAGCAGAACCTCCTTTCTCCACAGAATCCTATACAATTACACAACAGATTGTCCTGAAGATTACAAACAAAACCTAAAATCACACTCACACGCGTCAAAACACACCAACTTTAATTTTCTTTTTCTCTCTCTACCCTCAACACATAACCACTGCTTTCCATCCCCACTTCAGCTTCTTGACACAAACTTTGAGAGTCCACAAAAGTTGTAACTTTTATGCTACTGATAATAAGGACAACATAAAAAAAAAGCATCAAAAGCCCAAAGACCCAAGTCACAATACCTCAGAAACAACTTCACTTCATCTCTTTGATCCAGAAATTGAAGACCCACAAAAGAACCCAGTTCACAGATCAGATAAAGATGGTTTTCAATTCTCTCTATAAATTTAAAATTAAAAAAGCAAGAAAAAACACTCTATACCCAGAAGATCAATAGTGCAAACAAGAACAAATAGAGAGAGAGAGAGAGAGAGAGAGAGTAATGAGAACTTACAGATATAGAACTTGATGGACAGCTGTGTGAAGATGGTGACAGATGTGAGCAGTAAGAGCTGTGGATAGCTTTTTTGCAAAGAAAATTGATGGTCCAGAAGACTGTTTTTTGTTCTAAAAGAGAAGATTTTTATTTGTTGTGGTTCAAATATGTAGGAAATCCCAAATTCTAAATTCTAATATACACTCCTTTAAACAGATCTCGGTAAAGGCATTTTCCACGCGCGAATGGAACGCGTGTAATACTCTATTTTTGGATAAATTACTCTTTACTTCCTTTTTGTTTGGCTATTTGTTTACTTTGACCCTGAATTTTTTTTTTTAATTTATTATTTTGGCTCTTTTTGTTTTAAATTCTTTTCTAATTTACTTTCTAAAGTTAATTTTTATTCAAAATTAAATAAAAAAAAATATCATGTTAACTGTCACATAACATAAAAAATACATTATTATATTAAAATTTGTGTTAGTGTAAAAAATGTGAGTTATATATAATTAATATTTTGTCCTGTGGTCGTTAATTTGTCATTTTTTGTCTAATATTGAATAAAAATTAGCTTCTGAAGAAATTGAAAAAACTAGAAATAAGAAAAGCTAAAGTGAAAAAAAAAAAATTAAGGACCAAAGTGAAATAATGGGTAAATTACACTGATCAATATAATTATATCAAAAATTTGGGACAAATAAATATATTTCTTTGTAAATCTCAAAGGAAATGAGTATATTTTACCTTAAAGTATCATATGAAAGACCATGTTTGGTTCAGTTTATAAGAATTTGGCAAAATTTTTGTACAATTTTTACTTTTATAAGGTAAACGTAATTTAAATATATTTACAAAATTAATTATTAAGAAGGTAAGAGAAAGTGTTTTTGACTTTTGTTTTTTTAATTATTAATTTTCAATTTATAGGAAATTAATCTTACAATTTTAATAAAATTATAATGACATTCCCGGTGTAAAAGTTACTTTAAAGTTATTAATGGAGGTGTTGAAATTATTATATTATTTTTAAATATTTTTATTTGAATATGTATCTCTGTCCAAGGTCATAATTGCTCTCCATCTTACCTAATAAATTTATCTAAATACCTTCCTTTAATGATATGTGTATTATACAAATGTAGAATATAATTATTTTAACTGCTGAGGGTGATTGAACATAAAATAAAATAAATAGTTAAATTTAATAAATGATGATAATATTATTTTTTATTTATTTGACTAATATGAGTCAAGTGTCATGAATCTATTTTTTTTTAAGGACCGTTAAATATTTCTACCTTTTTACTTTGAATTTTTCTTTTTTTCTTTTTTTATAATTTTATCTTAATATCAAATTCCAATTTTGTCCCAATCTTTATCCTCCCAAGTCCAACCCTAACCCTATCCCTAACCCTAACGCTAATCCCATCACCACTTCTACTCTCGTCGACACCCTTTGGCAACAACCCCCCACCACTTCCACTCCCATTGACAACCTCCGAAACATCGTGACCTTCATCAACCCACATCCAAAACTAGATATTTATGGAGAAAAATCTAAATATATAGAGCAAAGTGAGGGTTTATTGAGAGCATAAGACAGACAGATTTACCAAAAAGAAAAAGAAAAAGAAAATGGGTGATGGAGAAGAAGAACGAGGCCGAAAAAGAAGAATGAAGTGAGTGCTTTGGGTATAATGGATTTGAGAAGGCAATGCTATGTAAAAGAAAGGAAATTAAGGAAGAAGAAAAAGAAAGAAAATGAAGTTGGAGGGTCAGTGGGCTATGTTTTTAGGGCAGCATTGTCTTTTGTGCGTGACTCTCTCTTTCCGTCGATTTCTCTCTTTACTTCACAGTTTAGTCAATTTCTTGTCATTTAGTTACACAAAGTCAAACTTGTTGAATATGTTCGGTGCTCCACAACCGAACATGTGCCTTTTGTTCGGCTACATACTACCGAACATTAGGTTTTTGTTTGGAACTGGTTTTCCAAATAGCGGCGAGAGTGGTTGCGAAGGCAAAAAGAAGGGTTAGGTTGCCTGTCGAAATGTGAGAAAGGTCCTAGAAGTGCGAAGGTGGAGATTTGAAGGAAGAGTAAGAGGTCGTTGGCGAGGGAGGGATGTTGGAGGAGGATCATCGGAGGGAGAGGTCGCAGGAGTGGAATAGGGACTGCTAGAGGAGGGAAGGAGGAATTACAAATGGAAGGTGTATATGTGGGGTTCAAAGGGTATATTTGGGATTATGGTAAGGGTCTAAAGAAAAATAAAGAGGGAAATAATTTTGGTGGTGTAGGGCCAAAGAAATGAAGGGTCCAAAGTAGAAAAGTAGGGACATTTTAGCAGTCATCTTTTTTTAAATAAGGTGTAACCTACTAGTTTTTTTCATTATTAAAAAGAAGTGAGTATAATTTAAATTTTCTCTCCTAAATTACACTATTACCTGTAACACCCCGAATAATACTTTTTTATACGATAATCTATTTTTAAAATACCTTAAGCTAATTATTGTATAATAATAAATAGTTAAATTGATAGTTAGAAAATCATATTTAATTTTACGGTTGTATGCGCTAAAATGTAATGTAATGTAATTTTAGGGATCATTATGTTTATCAAAATATGATAATATAATGGATTTTTTGGACCAAAGTGAATTAGAAAAATGTGTGAAATTCTTTGAATTGAAATTCAATATTGTGTATGAGCTATATGTTTGGCATGGTTTGGAACCATGTGTTTGGCATGGATTTAGAGCCATGTGGTAAGCCACATGGTTGAGCCATGTTGTAAACCACATGGTTGAAGGAAAAGTGGACATAGATCACCTATAAATAGGTCAGTTTGTATTGAATAAAATAAGCAAACAAACAAGCAAGCAACAAGAGAAATGAGAGAGTTGAAGTTATGGATTAATTTTGAGGTCAGTTTTATTATATTTTGAACTATCCTAAATGTCACGACCCAAACCCGCCCCTATAGGTTTAGCATCGTAACCGGCCAGTAATCCTTGGACTATTGAAGGCCTCTGAACAGATTAACAAGATTAAGGGGCTAGTGGAAGCAAATACATAAATATAGTTGTCCAATGAGCTGTGCTGACTTATATGAGCAGAATAATTAAAACTTTATATAAGGAAGCAATAGTCATTCATACATTATACCCACACACATTATAGTATCTTAAGTCCAGCCAACAGAATTAAATCAAGTCATATATATACAAACAACCAACAGAACTAGAACACAGGACACTTCGGGAACCTCCACGTGAGGCACAATGGTTGGCTGACAACAGAACACAGCTCCAGACAAAAGCCTTCAGGCTCGGGCTCCAGAATCCTCACCTATACATATATATACACACAATGAGCTAAAGCCCAATGAATAACATTAAGGTAAAGGGGTTAGTGAACGAAATCCGAATATATCATAAGCAGAAAACAGACCAGAGCATAATCATTTTCATATCAGAACATAATAATGGTACATCCCATAGAACATATCACAGAACATCTTCCGACTAGAGTAATCGGTTCCGGATACCGATGAAATACATATCACCACAATGAAGTGGCTAGCGAGATCTCATTTACTTGTATGTCATGGACCCGCATTTTCATGTCGTCCCCTATGACTTGGGACTATCTATGGATGCCATAATAGATTTCAAACTTGGAATATTCGTTCACGAAAACAGATATCATTTCAGAAAGCAGAACTTATCATATGTCATTTGGAACGTAATTCATAAAAACGTATCTTTACAATAACGTTACTCACAGTGGTTCCAGCAATGGTCAATCAATCCTCGAGTCTTGACCTACAATCACAAAATACAAAACACAAGCATGCCTTATCATTACACATTCAAGTGGCTATTAAGGTTTAGCTTTCATTACATTGGTTCTTATTCTTTCTTATCACATTGCCTAAAACACACACACTTGCAGTCTCGGAACTTAGTATATTCTTTTCTTAGTGTGTTTCTAATCCATAACCTCATTACTATAGCTTAATTAAGGCTTAGGAATGCCTAAGATGCAATGAGGATGCCAAAACATGCCTTGGAACACTTAATAAATTTTCAGAAAATAAGGTCAACGCTCGAGCGTAGCTTTCCTCGCTCGAGCGGACATGCAAAATGTGAATGGTCGCTCGAGCGCACATTCCTTCGCTCGAGCGATTTGTAAAAACATGAAACTTCTGGGAGCTTGCAATTCACGCTCGAGCAGACTTTTGGTCACTCAAGCGGAGTGCACGCACTCAGATTGGTCGCTTGAGCGTGAACTCCCACGCTCGAGTGTAGATGCAAATTCTGAAATTTCTAGATTGTACCTTCAAGCTCAAAACTTGAATTCCAACCTTCAAAACACATCTCTTGGGCCCCAAAACTTGAGATAACATAATAAACTTGTAAAACATGAAGAATTTAGGATCATTTCATAAAATCATGGCCCAAGGGTTTGCCAAAAGTTCCTAATTTCAACTTAAAACGTGATAAATGTTCATGAACACAACATGCATGGGTTTTCTTGGTCTTGAGCTTCCCAAAACATGATTAAACACCACAAAACAACTTGAAACTTAATGATTTCCCTAAATGAAGATGAATTTCAATCATGCAAGAGAGGATTCATGGAAATCATGCTCAATTTGTAAGAAAATGTACATGCATGCAAAACTTTTCAGTCTCTTTGCTCCAAAACTCATAAAACTTATAAATTGAGCTCATAAGCTCCATGCATATAAGAAATCCCTTTTGCAAAATATGAATTCAAGGTTCAAAACATGATAATTCAAACATAGATGATATGAATCATGTTCAAAATGATGAAATTAAACTAAACTAAGCACGCATGTATGAATTAACTCTAAATTCATCACCTTTGGTCCAACTCTCGTACATAATCACAAATTCTTCTTGAAATGATCTACTTGATGGTTAAAAGTCATAATTAAGTCTTAAATCCTTACCTAGAGTCTTCAATTAGCTAGGTACTTGCACAATCTTTGATCAATTCAAGCTATAACCTTCAATTTCTCCTTAATCTCTACCTCTCTCTCTCTAGAATTGCACTCTCTCTCTCTCTAAGATGAATTCTCAGATTTTGGCACTAAGAGGTAAAAGAATTGAGCTCAAAAATGAGCTTAAGGGTTACATA